CAGGGTAGGTATTATAAAGAATATGTGACCCAGGCCACAGCTGGTCTATGGTTTGAGGACCTAAGCTCAACCACAAGCCAGGAATAGCAAACAGGATATTCCTGGCAACACTGGCAGAAGACTATATCTGAACGGCAGAAAGCTGTGGGCAGAGTCTGACACCAAAATTAACAGACTTAGCTTCCACTATTTGGCAGCACAAAGCAAGAGCCAGGAAGAGAAACACACCAGAATCTGATCTCTCGCAGAGTCCCTCCAACACCTTCTACTGATTCAGCTTAATCACATCAACTTAAAAAGGCTGTCCAGCAAAGCAATGAAAGGTGGGGTTGAGGAAGTAGGGTAATAACTGGCATGGTCTCCAATTATCATTCACCACTAAAACCAACTGTTACTTAAAGAAATGGATGATTACAGGGCTAGAATCACTGAGCATTCGTATTATGCCTAAATATAAAAAGCATCCCCCACCCCACAAAAAACATATATATACATCACAAGAAGAGGCTTCAGAAAGTTTGTAAAAAAAGATGGAATGTAAAGATAATGGAATTTTTCCACAAGCTTTGGGAATCTTCTTTGTATGATGGAAGCATGTTATAACAGTGTAGATGTCAGATTAAAGAGGCTCTTACTGGTAATAAACCAAAAAGTCACACTCCCTGCCACTGAGTCGATGCCAATTTACAGCAACCCTATAGGTCAGGGTAGAACTGGCCCTGTGAGTCTCCAAGACTGCACGTGTTTCCAGAAGTAGAAAGTCCGTCTTTCTCCTACAGTGTGGCCAGTGGTTTCAAACTGCTGACCTTGCAGATCACAGCCCAACATGTAAATCATGCCACCACGGCTCCTCCTACTGGTAATAGCTGAGGCAATTTAACATCAAAATAACTAAGTACAGAGGGAGAAGATCAATCAGTTTCTACCATCCCAAATCATTAGACACTCCAACGAGAGTAAGTATCACAGAAGGCAATAATTACATTTCAGATGGTGGGCATACCAGGTGGGCCAAACCGCCACGAGGAAAATTGCTTAATATTACATAAACTGACCCAAAGGGAGAACTGACCCCGTATTATGTTCCTAAATGGGCAATTTTGACCTAATTTCTATGGTGACCCAGGCAGCATGCAATCAGAAAGAATAGTGTCTGGGATCTTAAAGGTTTGTCTCAAAACAAGCAGTCATCTAAGTGAGGAATCTGTTAAGTCCACAGGGAAGAAGCACACCAGTCTGTGTGACCCAAGGATTATAAATAATAAAATCCAAACACAGAGGAGGGAATGGTATCAGAATTTAAATTCTGAATAACCAGTTTGCAGAACACTATGGATGATAATGGAAGCCCCAAATCCATTTGTAGGGTCCCTATGTAGAGAGTCTCCAGTGAATGCCCTCTGACCAGTCTAGGGATGTGAATAGCCTTAATTCAGAGGACATTGTAAAGCAGATTTTAGAAGCTGTAGTTACGCTAAAATGTAACACCTTATAATTTCATCATCTTTTTATTAATTTTTAAAATTCCAGTTTTCTAGTATTTTCTGTTGTCTTTTCAATTAAGGTTTTCCTGTTTTATTTGGTGATTATTGCTGGGTCTTTTTGTGGTTTTTTAATCTTTGTATGTTTTTCTGTGCAGGGAATCCAGGATACATATATCTAAAGAGACAGTAACTGTATTAATAATTACCTAAGGGGATGGAGGGGTGGTTGGGGGAAAATGGGGCATCAACAACAATAAATATAAGGAAAACAACATTCTAATTGTGGTGATTATTGCCTAGCTCTTAATATGACTGAACTATTGAACCGTAATTATGTTCATTTTTATATTTCTTAAATAATTAAGTACATCAGGGCCAACAAGGAGAGTAGAGCTACCAGGAGGATTCGGGGTGGGTGGGGGGAGAAATGGGGAATCAATTACAAGGATCAACCTAGAAAAGTGGGTGAGGGGTGAAGGAGGATGATGTAGATATGGAAATAATAATCTATAACTTATCAAGGGTTCGTGAGGGAGGGTGGGCGGGGAAAGGAAGGGGAAGAAATGGGGAGCTGATGTCGGGCTCAGGTGGGAAGAGAATGCTTTGAAAATGATGATGGAGGCATATGTGCAATGTGCTTGACACACTGGATGAATGTATGGATTGTGATAAGAGATGTAAGAGCCCCCAATAAAAGTATTTTTTTTAATGTTTTAAATAATTAAGTACATTAGAAAATCCTACATAATTAGGAAAACACAGATGTAGGAGTCCATATTAATGATAGATGATTGATTAGATAGATAGATACATACATACATACATACATAGACACATAGATAAAGGGAGAAGAAAGTATAACAGTAAAGATGGAGAGGGTGTTGTATTTGAAATATCACTATTTTGTAACCATAATATAGAGATAAATTCATGTAAGAATCTTAATGGGTATTAAATCTAAGGGGTAATTTTGAAGAATAGAATAGTTTCATGGCCTTAAACATTTTTCTCCAAAGGTAACTTATTAAAACAAAGAATGGAAAGGAAGGAAGCTAGTGGTATATAGGAGGTCCTAATCCCTGGAAATTTGGAAGACAGCTAGCTGCCTGGTCATCTGACAGAAGAGATACGTATTTGTACTCATTCCAAAGAAAGGTGAGGCAACAGAAGGCAGAAATTACCAAGCCTATCATTAATATCACATACAAGTAAAAATGTGCTAATAATAATTCAGTGACGATTACAGAACAGCAACAGGGAGCTACCTGAATTTCAAGCTGGATTCAAAAACGAATGTGAAAATAACTATGCCACCATTGACCTCCCATGCATCTTGACTGAAAGCAGAGAACAGTAGAAAGTTGTTTAGCTGTGTTTCAGTGACCATGTAAAGGCATTCTATGTGGGTCATAACAAACTCTGGATAGTATTAAGAGTGGAAATTCCAGAACACTTCACTGTACTCATGTGGAATCTGTACATGTACCAAGAGTAAGTGACCAGACGTCCCGCTTTTGGCTGGACAGTCTCGATTTTTGGCGTTTTAAAAAACTCCCGATTTTTAGAAAGAATGCACGACAAGCTAGGGAACGGTCTATTTGAGCCATATAGACCAAATTTTTTTTTTTTAGACCAAATTTTTAATCAAGAACCCAACCCCCTCACCCCCCGGCAATGGTGTCCCACTTTAAATCTGGTCACCTGAACCAAGAAGCAGTCATTTGAACAAAAAAAAGGAACACTGCATGATTTACAATCAGAAAAGTTATGCATCGGGGTTATATAATTCTCACCATCCTTACTCAAAACAATCCAAGAAGCTATTCTGTATGAAGAACATGGCATCAGGAGTGGAGGTAGACTGACTAACAAGTCACACAATGGGATATGCAGAGGACACGACCTAGCTTGCAGAACATGAGGAAGACTTAGAGCACTTGCTGATGAAGACTAATGACTGCAGCCTTCAGTATGGATCACAACTCAGTGTAAAGAAACCCACATCCTCACAACTGGCCCAATAGGTAACTCATGATACATGGAGAAAAGATTAAAGTTATCAAAGAGTTCCTCTTGCTTGGATTCACAATCAATGCTCATGGAAGCAGCAGCAAAGAAATCAAACCAAAAAAATCAAACAATGTACTGAACTGCACAAATCTGATGCAAAAGATCCCTTAAAAGTGTTGAAAGGCAAGGGTGTCACTTCGACGGCTCTGGTGCACCTCACCCAAGACATGGTGTTTCCAATCACTTCATATGCACGTGAGAGGTGAACAAAGCACCAGGGAGACAGACTAAAGAAGAATCTGTGCATTTGAATTACGGTGTTGGCAAAGAATATTCAAACTGCCATAGACTGCCAAAAGAATGCGCCAGACTGGTTTGGGAAGAAGTGCGGCCAGAATGCTGCTTAAAAGGAAGGACGGTCAGACCTCACCTCATACTTTGGAGAGACCAATCCCTGGAAAAGGAAATCATGCTTGATAAATAAGAACTCACTGCCACCGAGTCAAATCTGACTCATAGTTGAAGGGCACCAGAAAAGAGGAAGACCCTTGATGAGAAGGATTTACACAGTGGCTGCAAGAATGGGCTTGAACATGACAAAGACTGTGATAATGGCACAGGGCAGGGCACTTTTTCATTCTGTTGCACAGGGGTCCCTCTGATTGGAACTGACTAGACAACGCCTAACAACAATCTCTACACCAAACACTGCCATCAAGTTGATTCCGACTCACAGCAACCCTATAAGACCAGGTAGAACTGCCCCTGTGGGTTTCGGAACTAATAACTTTTTAAGGGAGTAGAAAGCCTCATCTTTCTCCCTCAGAGTGGCTGGTGGTTTCGAACTGCTGACCTTGCAACTGCAGCCAGATGTTTAACCACTACACCACCAGAGCTCCTACAACAATCCCTAGAATCTATAAATGTTCCCTTTTTTGGAAAAGGGATCTTTGAAGCTGTAATTAAATTTGTGATCCTGAGATAGGAAAGACGATCCTAAATTATGAGTGACCCTAAGTGCTATCACAAGTGTCCTTAATAAAAAAGAAGCCAAGGGACATTTCATAGGGAGAAGAAGGTGTTATGAAGATGGACCAGAGAGAGACTAAAAGATGCAAACCTTGGAATGAGGCAGCCACCAAATGCTGGAAAAGGTAAGAAAGATCCTCCACTGGAACTTCTCGAAGAAGTCAAGCCCTGCTAATGAATACCTTAGTGCTAGCCAAGTAGATCTGAGTGCACCTGCTGGACTCCAAAACGGAGGGAAAGCGAACTCCTGGTGGTTCTTGCTGTCTTGTGGGAGTGAGAAATAAATGCACTTAGCTAATGAAATTCTACCAAGAACATGAAAAAATAACTTCGAGTGCTTGCTGAATTAAATGAGTTACCTTAATAAGAGGGGCTTGGCTTCTCACTTCATGGCACAGTAATTTCCAGCTTTAACTGGTATACACAATTAACTATTCGTCACTTTTTAAAAATAACAATTTAAAAATAACCACTTACCAAACACTATGCCTTTGGCAAACGGAGGAAACAATTCTGAATGTCGAAATAAATTTTTGTGAATTTGCCAGAGTTCTTTGTGAAGTTTCTTAAAATCACTGTATCTCTTCCACACGATTATCTAAGGAGAGAAAAAAATGACGTGTGTATCTATAGTGAAGCTGTTTAATTCCAAAGTTCTGAACAAGAAACACTCTTCATTAAATGCTCAAGACAAGCATACAAAATGAAACAAATGTGCCTTCTAATCAATAAGGGTAGCCTATAATCAACTGATCATATTTGATTTTAAAATATAGAGCCATCATTCTGCCTCAAACTGTTCTGCCTGGATTTTCAAATTTCAGCTTAAATAGCATTATTTTCAAAAATAAATAAATAAATAGTATTGTTTTCTTCATACTGGAAAAACATGCAACCTGGTACAAAGAGAGCATACATAAAATGTCACTTCACTTCTTAAGAGAAAGTACTGGCAAATACTTTTGTTGTATCTATGTTTACCACAACCTAAAAAGAAAAATTTGCATTAACTATTAGTCTGGAAATGAGTTTTATAGTCAGTCTCAAAAACAGCATGTTTATAAGCAAACTGAAAGGAAAAAAAAAAACTCACTGCCTTTCAGTCAATTCTGACTCAGAGCGACCCTACAGAACAGAGTAGAACTGCCCCTGTGAGTTTCCAAGACTGTAACTCTTTGTGGGAGTAGAAAGCCAAGTCTTCCTCCCACAGAGCTGTTGGTGGGTTCAAACTGCTGGCCTTATGGCCCAAAGTGTAACCACTACATTACTAGGACTCCTATGTTTATAAGCAGAAGATAATAAATTTAAACAGTTTTTAAACACAAAGTACATACGCCTAAAAGGATAAGTAAAAACTGAATAGCCAAAGTTTTGTAGCAAGAATCAACATGAACTTAATCATTAAGACAATTAAATTTCACACACACAAAATTTTCCTGTAGGTTAGACAACACTTAAAAGTGATTTTACTTTCATTAACTTGGACTGTTCTTTACTTAGGAAAACACTTTTGTAATGGAGGACCTAAAACACGCGACCTCAATGATCGCTGCTTCGTCTTCTCAGTCACCTCCAGACAGCCTACGCTGAGTTTCAGACTCTGCTACCGGTATGCCCCCGAGGACCCTCATCCCCTGCGATCCAACACACGTCGAGTGCGTGCATGCCTGACACTCATGAGCCGACATTAGACCCCGCAGGTTGTCACGTGTGATTTAAGGGATTTGCCCCCAAATGCACCCTCCACATACATGAACTTCTTCACTAAAATTTATCATACTACCAAAAATTTTACCATGAGTAGGTTTCCTGTTTATAATAAGACTCATAATTCTAGAAGGCTACACACACTTTATGAATTAATTTAAATACACAGCTTCTTAACGTTACTTTCATTTATTCAAGTATCAACAACAAAAATGGGTATCAAAAAAAAAACAATTAAAAAAATGGGAATCAAACCAAATGATTTCCTAGCCCTATACTGGGCAGGTCCTGACTCACACAGAGCATGAGGAGGTGAGAAGTACAGTCCCTGCCTGAGAAGCGTCCACTGTCTAGACAGGAGGAATCAGCCACCACAATAAGTACATGGTAAGGCCATGTGGCAACTGCTGGCCAGGATGCTGTAGGAAGGGCGCCTCAATCAGCCTGTGGTGTCGATCTAAGAAGTCCTTCCAGTGACAGCTCTAAAGGGAAGTAATCGTTCAACAGACCAAAGGAACATACAAGGAAGGAGCTTTCTAAAAGGAAAGAGAAAGATGACAAGCAAAATGACTAGCATTTTGGCTTCCGCAACTAGATAAATGGTGACGAGTATGAAAGAAGTAGAAAGGAGTTCAATTTCAGATTCGGTGTAGGTGCCTGCAGGGCATCTATCTGGAGATGTACCATAGGGTGGACGGGTTTGGAGTTCAAGAGAGAGATCTGAACACTAGGTACTAATGCAGGACTCATCAGCAGATAGACAGTAATCAGTTGGAAAAAGTTTCTCAGGATTTCTAAGGAGATGAAGGGTCTAAAAAAGGGTCAATGGGGAAATCTAGCACTGAAGAAACTGCCTGAAAAAGAAAACCAAGTACAGGGTGTTCAAACCGCTTGGCTATGCAGTAGAACAGGCCAATAGGATGGAAGAAGGATTTCTAATCTTAAAATGGAAATGAATAAGACAAATACTGATAGCAAATCCTGGTATGGTAGGGTCTAGAACCAACAGTTCTAGTACAGGACAGAGAGAGAGCCAACTTGATAGAGTGAAACCAACAACTGAAAAGTAGATCTCAGGATATGGAGAACACAGATGATGTTCAATTTGTCTGTTTTTTGCTTATCTGTGGTTCCTAATTTCGATACATGAACATATTTCTGTCATAGGAAAAACTATTTTTGCATTTTGAAAATATAACAAATTAGGGCAGAAACACACTGTCAGAGGACTAATGAGGAAAGGGTGACAGGTTTACGAAGCAATATTTATGTAAGGTAAATATCATCTTTAAAGCCATTAGCAAGTGGACATAACAGCTATTCCAAAAAAATGTGGCTCATGTAAATGGTGTAATCTGCAAATAAAACCATGTTCTAGTTAAGGTTGTTTTTTTAATAATAGAATAAGTTAAGGGACCAAAGTAAACAATTTCAACACAGTAATAATTAAAACCTCATGTTATATAAATCAGCAAAGTTCTTCACCTTGATTCATTCCTTCACTGTTTATTCTCCACATTAAGGCTGCACAACTGGACTATGTAAGTGCAGGAACCCTAAGACAAGCAGAAACCAAAGTATTGCAGTATTACCACATACTGCCTCCTTTTATTCTGATTCCTTTGAAGCTTAGAAGGTCACAGAAATTTTCCAAGTGGAAAAGTATAACGAAATCCTATTTCTACTATAAGTACTAATGTTTATGTATGGACTACACAAACTCCAAAATGACAATTAAAATTATTGTTCTCTAATGGTTTCCATTTTTCCAGTGGAAAAACTAGTTGCACTGCTCAATTAATTCCTTCAGAAATTTCTAATTGATTAAAATCTATCTGAATCAAATTCCCCAAGGAGGTATACCTTCATTGACAACTATGTGTAAAACTAAAAATTTAATAAACGTATAATTAAAATATTCATTAAAATGTTCCCCTAAATATTTTTCTTATGTTTCCTTTTCTGATAGAAGAGCACCAAAAACTTTTACATTGCTTGCATTCTACAAAATCAGACACACAATTCAATTAGCTTTGCTCTTTTACTCACAAATAGTATTGAAAACGTATCTGTTATTAAAATCAACATCATGACCATACTATTTGCATATTACCTATATACTCCAGTATAGACTGAGTTTTTTTTCCCAGCACATTTTTAATGCAGTTTTTGTGGTAAGATTAGGTACCTCAGCTGATCTTTGGGTCAGCTTATACTCGAGTATATACAGTAGTTTTCTTTCCCTCTTGTTAAGAGCTTTTTTTCTCTCTGGTTACATTTCTATTTCCTAAAACTATTTACGAATCAACTTAGCAGAGATTTGACATAATGCATAAAAGGCGGGGGGGGGGGAACTTCACTTTTATCGAGTCGATTCCAACTCACAGTGACCCTCTAGGGCGGAGTGGAACTGACCCTGCGGGTTTCGACTCTTTAGGAGTAGAAAGTCTCATTTTCTCCCACAGAGTAGCTAGTGTTTTAGAACTGATAACCTTGTGGTTGGTAATCCACGGTATAGCCTACTACGACGTACCACCAGGGCTCCTTAATGCATAGAAGGAAAGTTTTATTCACTTTTTTTCCTTTCTCAAATGATGCCAGTGAAATTTGGAGCCTATAGAGAACTGTTTGTTTGTTAAGAGGGGGGCAACACTTCCACCTCTTTCTCCACCCTTCTTCAGACTGTGCGCGCTGTGAAGAGCCCACAATGCAGCCTCCGATTAGCTCTGCTGCCATCTTGAAGGCAACTCTACCTAACAAAGAAAAGTGTAGAAGGAATTATTTTAAAGATTTTTCCAAAAAGTAAAAAGAAAGCTACCCCATGACAGAATTGTAAACTATTTACTCAATGTATTTTATATTTATCAGGAAGAAGAGAAAACAGTGCTGTCTGGCTGCATGTAGTTACATGTTGGGCTGCTAACTAAAAAGGCAGCAGTTCAAAATCACCAACTGCCCCGTGAGAGAAAGCGGAGGTTTTTGATTCCTATGAAGAGTGGCAGCCTTGGGAGAACACAGGGTCACGATGAGTCGGAATCGACTCAATGCCAGTGAGCTTGGTTTAGTGCCAACGAACAGAAAACAGAAAACAACAAAATGTTTCCAATGGCATAAGAATAGATCATTATTAGGCCTATGTTTGCTTACACTCATAGTACATAGACTAATCATCAATAGTCCTGCAGACGCTGACTAAATTCTGCAGCAGTAACTAAATACATTTCGGAGAAAGTGAAAAGAAATAGAAACAAATTCCCACGGACTGGTCTCTCTCCTTAATGAGAATACCAATGTTTAAATGAAATAATGGGGAAACGGAAAAAGTATTGCTATAATTGCAAGATTATTTTATATGTTAAGATGCCTACTACACAGAAAAGAGTTTTTAGAAATTTGTACACTACTTCTAACAAAGGGCCATGCAATCATCTAACTAACGGGCACTTACAAGAGTTTTCTGATGAATGGTTCACCAACAGTTGTTAAGATAAAAGAGTTTTTCCCAAAAAATGATTAAGGAAATGGCAGAGAGTGTGCTCATGAATAGGTTGGTTCAGGATTCTCCCTGGAAAAGGCGAACAGCAAGCTACAAACTATAGCACAGCAATCAGACAATATATTCAAAGGAAACACAACAGAACAGACTGGCACTTGTTGTATTTCAATATTATTTATAGAATTCTAAAGATACAAAGTATAGTTCATACTAATCAACAGACACTTCAGTAGAGAGTATTTTAATTAATCAATAGTATCAATTATTTTCACTGAAAATAAGTACATGTCTATATTGATATCCTTTTCTTCTAAAATAGCAATGTTACAATTGTAATACTTTCTTCCTGGCTAATGAGGGAAGCAGGTAATTGAAAATATCTTAAATCCCTGAGGAAAACAATACAACATTTTCTTGGGCTCTTTTTAGTCATAAGACAGAAACAAACATCAGATCAGACAGAGCAAGAAATAGTAATCCAGAACTAAATATAGAACTATACGATGTATAAAAATGTATAAACTGTCTAAACTTGAGGTCACAAATTCAGGCCTACCAAACCATCAACTTAAATAAATGAAGAAAGCCGGAAACTTCCAGTAAACAGGGTCTAAGGCAATACATGGCCCAAACACTTCCACATTTTATTGGAAAAAGCAAACAAACATTGCAACAACCAAAAAAGCCACAGTTTCAGAATAAGAACTGCCAATTTGCAAGACCTGTTTTAAATATTTGACGGACAAAACGAACCCCAGTATGTGTCCTCCAAATCTTAGTGAAAATGAGCAGGTGCAAAAACGAAAGAAAATTAAGAAAAGTTAACAGAAACAAGGTCCTCAGTAAAGGTCCTTTGAGATGTACAATAAGAAGCTTAAGAGTAATTACAAATAGAGAATTTCACAGCTTCAAGCAAAAACCCAACAGGCTGGGATTTCAGCAGGAGAGAAAAAAGGAGGGAGCACTAAAGAGCGTGTAAAAGAACTCGAAACTTCAAAGGAAAAACCGGTACCCAAAGCAGCTTCCAGGGCGTCAATGTGGCAGTTCAATTCAGAAGTGAAAGTAGGAAGGGACCTTCACAAAGTATTATAACCTTTACAAATTAATACTCGCTAGCAAAGCTTTTTAGTTTCTGTTAAAACAGCATCACGATTTTGAAAGAAGTCAGTCGAGATCCTCAGTGGATTACTGACACCTTATGAGCGGTAGTTACCAGACAGTTCTCCGCTGACATGAAACAGCACTCTGCCTTATTTGCTAAGTTAGGGCTGAAGTAGGAGCATGGCATTTATTTATCATTCTATGAGCTGAAGACCATCTTCATACGAACATACCAAATGCCAAGACTCACATAGACAGAATTTGGACAGCTAAGTCAACAAAGCACTTAATTAAATGTGTATCTAAGATATAAAATAAAATTTCCGTATGGTGAACATGTTACCTCCTGGACATCCTCCGGATTTCTTCGTGAAACAACCTACAACAAAACACAAAAACATCATCACTATCAGAATTTGAAACTTCACATTGTATAACTACTGTTAACAAATGTGTGTGTCAAATTCGTGTTAATTTGCTTAAAGAAAATATCATAGTATGTTACTCACCCAGAACTCAGCTATATAATAACATTACTATCTGAAACCCATACTAAAAAAATTCAGCAAGGCAACAGCTAAGCTAACGTCTACAGGTTAAAAGGCCATGCACTTTACGCAGAAGAGAATGCCTCGGCCCTTGGGCTTTGGTTTTGTTTTTTCATGTTTTACCATTAAACCCCTCTAAATCTATGAGGGCTTGTTTGTTTTTTTCCGTTCTTTCCCTTCCCCTTCCCTCCCCAATTCACCCCACCCACACACCCCACCCCCGCACACACATATATAATCTTAAAGTCTTATCCTTTGGTGTAAACCATTTTTTTTCTGTTACAGTAATGACGTCATAGGATATTTATCTTTATGAGATTGACTAACTTCATTCACTGAGTACAATGTTCTCTAACTTTGTTCATGCCTTAAGGTATTTGATTTTTAAGGGCATTGATTTATAAGGATGCATTCTATCCCATTAAGGGACCCTGGTGGCATGGTGACTACTCATTGGGCTGTGATCCACAAGCTCTGCAGTTCAAAACCACCAGCTGCTCCACGGGACAAAGAGACATTTCTACTCCTATAAAAAGTGACAGTCGTGGAAACTCACAGGGGCAATTCTACCCTGCCTTACAGGGTCACTATGCGTCTGCATCTACTTGATGGCAGTGAGTGAGTGAATATTCCATTATATGAATGAACCAGAGTTGGCTGATCCATTCCTGTACAGTCGGGCCAGCTCTTAGTTCTTATTTGACATAATTCTAACAAGCCTGACTACCCTCTTCAAGCCTACATACCAAAACCGAAACTCACTTCCTTCGCGTCAATTCTCACTCCTGGAAATCCTAACTCCTTGCAGTCCTACAAGTCAGAGTAGAACTGCCCCTTTGAGTTTCCGAGACTAAATCTTTACAGGCACAAACAGCTTCACCTTGCTCCCAAGGGGCAGCATGGTCATGGTTAACAACCAATGCTTAACCCACTGTGACACCAGGGCTCCTTCCAGTATCAGAAGAATAGAAAACAGTCATGCCTTTGCAAAATGTACAATGGATTTCTCTATATTATTTCTTACCAATGTATGTGAATTTATAATTAGCTAAAGAGAAAATTTCAATTTAAAAAAAAGCAGCTGCAAGGATCAGACATAGGATTGACTCTACAGTAGTAAGAAGTTTATATAACTGTGTGGATCAAGACAAACTGTGAACAACACTGAAAAGAACAGGAATTCCAGAACATTCCATTGTGAAACTTGTATATAGACAAAGGGCGGTCATTTGAACAGAGCAAGGAGATACTACACGGTTTTAAAAATTAGGAGAATCATGTGTCTGGATGTATCCTTGAACCACCCTCAGTCAATCTGCGTGCTGAGCAAATACTCCAAAAAGCTGGACTACGTGAAGAACAGCAACAGGATTAGAGAAGAGCTCATTAGAAGTGAGGACATGAGGCATTTATTGATGAAGATGAAAGACTACAGTCGTCGGTGTAGAGTACGACTCAATGCAACAACAACAACAAAGCCTCACAAATGGCCCAATAAACAACCTCATGATAAAATGAGATCGAGCTGACGTTGTCCAACAAACAGTCCTTCAACTAACTGCAAGCTTTTCTTTCATGTTGTTGTGTTTTGTTTTGTTTTTTGTCATTGGCTTGTTGGTATTATTTTGTTTTATTTTGTTCCTTGGTTTTGTTCTGTCTTGTTTTTGTGCATGTTATTATCTCCGCATGTCTGTCTAAATAAAATAGGCTGGATGAACAATCTGGAGAAGAAAACAATGGGACCGACAGTTCCGGCGGGGACAGAGGAGAGGGGGAGGTGGGGGAAAAGTAGTGGTGTTAACAAACCCAGGGACAAGGGAACAAGTGATCCAAATCGGTGGTGAGGAGGGTGCAGGAGGCCTGGTAGGGTGTGACCAAGGAATTACTGAAACCCTAACGAAGGCTGAACATGATAGTGGGACAAGAGGAAAGTAAAAAGGAAATAAAGGAAAGGGCTAGGAGGTAAAGGGCATTTATAGAGGTCTAAATACAGGCATGTACATATGTAAATATATTTGTATATGAGGATGGGGAAATAGATCTATGTGCATATATGTATAGATTTAGTATTAAGGTAGCAGATGTAGTACTACTCAATGTAGGCAGTACTCAAGTACTACCTCAATGCAAGAATACTTGGTTCTATTAAACTGGCATTCCATGATGCTCACCTTCCCGACATAATCGCTGAAGACAAAGCGGGTAAATAAGCAAATGTGGTGAAGACAGCTGATGGTGCCAGCTATAAAAAGATATAGTGTCTGGGGTCTTAAAGGCTTGAAGGTAAATAAGCGGCCATCTAGCACAGAAGCAACAAAGCCCACATGGAAGGAACACTCCGGGCTGTGCAAACACGAGGTGTCGAAGGGATCAGGTATCAGGCATCATCAGAACAAAAAAAATCACATCATTGTGAATGAGCGGGGGAGAGGTTGGAGTGGAGACCCAAAGCCCATTTGTAGGCCACTGGACATCCCCTTACAGAAGGGTCGCAGGGAGGAGACGAGCCAGTCAGGGTGCAGGGTAGCAACAATGAAACAAAGAAACTTTCTTCTAGTTCCTAAATGCTTCCCCCGACCCTCACTATCATGATCCCAATTCTACCTTACAAATCTGGCTAGACCAGAGGACATACAGTGGTACAGATAGGGACTGGAAACACAGAGAATCCAGGGTGATTGATCCCTTCAGGACCAGTGGTGAGAGTGGTGATACCGGGAGGGTGGAGGGAGGGTGGGGTGGAAAGGGGGAACTGATTACAAGGTTCTACATATAACCTCCTCCCTGGGGGACGGACAACGGAAAAGTGGGTGAAGGGAGACATCGGACAGTGCAACATATGACAAAATAATAATTTATAAATTATCAAGGGTTCATGAGGGAGGGGGGAGCGGGGAAGGAGCGGGAGAAAATGAGGAGCTGATGTCAGGGGCTTAAGTGGAGAGGAAATGTTTTGAGAATGAAGAGGGCAATGAATGTACAAATGTGCTTTACACAACTGATGTATGCATGGATTGTGATAAGAATTGTATGAGCCCCTAATAAAATGATTTTTAAAAAAAAGAACTGATGTTGTCAATGATTTCATTTTACTAGGATTCATAATCAACACTGATGGAAGCAGTCAAGAAATCAAAAGATGTATTTTTACATAGGGCAGATATACTACAAAAGACCTTTACAAGTGCAAAGATCCAAACCGAGGTATTGTCAATCACCACATATGCATGGAAAAGCTGAATAATGAGTAAAGAAAACCACAGAAAATTTGATGCATTTGAAATATGGTGCTGGCGAAAAATATTCAAAGTACCACAGGCTGTCAGAAGAACAAACAAATTGGTCTTAGAAGTAGTATAGTCAGTGTTCCTTAGAAGCAAAGACAGTGAGACTTCATCTCTTATAATTTGGACATGTTATCAGGGGAGACTAATCCTGGAAAAGACGTCATGCTTAGCCAAAAAGAGAGTCAGCTCAAAAGAGGCAAACCATTAAGGAAATGGACTGACATAGTGGTTGCAACAATGGACTCAAACATGACAGCTGTGAGAATGGCACATAATCAGGGGGTGTTTGCTTCAGTTCTACAGAGTCACTGTAGTTAGAATCTACTTAAAACACCAAACAACACACTTATATAAAGGTCAATCCCACTGGGGTTGCGGCTGGGGAGGGGAGCTGACAACCACCTAGAAGAGTCTTTTGGACCTTAAGTCCCTGAGCTGAGAATCTCATAGACCCAGAAGGAGCTGTAACAGTGAAGAGACTGCAACATGGTGACAGTGGCAGATGGCTTGCCAGACTATAACGCAAGAGCTGAACACTTTCAGGAAGGAATATAAGAGCTGTAATACTTGCCTGTGCCAGGCAGAGGCTTAAGTCTGGCCTGGGCAGAGGTTGCCCAGGAGGATACTCCTGGGATACTAGGAGGGTTGCCTAGGAGGTTGCCTACAGCAGGGCAGAGCCAGATGCCTCTGAGCAGGCAGCTTGCCAGTAGAACTAAGAGCTTGCTTGTGCAGAGCAAGAGAAGCCTGAATGTGACCCAAGCAAGGGCTGCACATTTCTCCACCTCTACCCCCACTCTTATCCCCACCCCACCCTGTGGAGTGTGGGCTCTGACAGTATGTTGGCAAGAGAGGCTCTGAGGACTAGTTAGCAGGGTAAAAGCCAAAAGTACAAGTCAGCGAGGCCCAGCAACCGAGCAGAAGCCATGGGAATCCATGCAGGCTATGCCCCACCTCCCACTATCCCCCATCCCAGAGCAGCATGGTAGTAGCCAGAGGGTGAGGGCACACATGAGCCACCTAACTTGAGCAATGGTATGCCTGATCAGCCACATAAGAATGCAAGGGTTGCCAAGGGCTTGAGTAGAAAGAAAATGTTTTGAAAATGATGATAGCAACAAATGTACAAATGTGCTTGACAAAATGGATTTTTGTATGGATTGTGATAAGAGCTGTATGAGCCCCCAATAAAATATTTTTTAATTATGAAGCAGACATGAAATGTTAAAATCATTTAAAATGATAAAGGAAAGTTACATAGGTCAGAAATATTAATTTACATTTTAAAAGAATGTTAGAGAAGAAATAAATGGAGATAAAGTAAGAAAAAGAATACAAGGGTTACTTAGGAACTTTGTTATTGTTTACTGTTTATTTTCTGTAGACTATAATAATGGTTTTCATTTTGCCAACACTGTGTTTCACGTATCTGGCTCAATCACAGATGCGCATAGCACCCACCCATAAAATGACTGATGCCAGTGGGTGGGTGAGTCTCATTCCTAGTAGTCTCATGACTGCCTAGAAGTCTGAGGCTCAGCCAGTTT